ATGCGCAGTACGAACGGGCGGCCCCTCGTATCACTGCGAAAGAGCGGCGAGACGCAGAGCAGGCGGTCGCTCAGTCTTCGCCACACGTCCTGGGGTCTTTCAGAGTGAGAGTCCTCGAGCGCCAGTATCAGCAGCACATAACCGTCGAAACGCTTCTTCAATTATGCTACTCAAAACGACACTCAAAAAATGCTTGTATCGAACTCTCGACACTATCACACTGCTGCAAAGCTCCTTATTCAGATGTTCGCAGTCTGCCATTTTGCAAGTCCACGATAACACCTAGATTCACTACATCATTCGTTGAGACGACCCCGTTATCGCGTGGGCGTCGATGTAGACGCTCTGATGGAGAGGTTCGGCAAATGTTGATGTTGGTGAGGCGCAAGTGGAAGTGAATGTGGCTTCTAGTGCTGCTACAGCATGAACACGTGTTGTGTAGATCGCTGCGATCCAAAAATTCGCACTCTAGAGTCTAGCACCGGAGAAGTCAGCAAGTTGTTGCTTCGGCAGATAGACATTGATCGATAGAGCTTGCCTGATTGATACAGTCTCAATGCGGTTCTGGAATCCCCCCTTGTACACCTCTCTATCAACTGCCTAACCCTAAGTTGAGGTGCAGTTGTCTCAAAGATTCGCTGCAGATACAACAGAGCATGGAGAAAATACGTCCAAGATCTCTACCTTTGCAACAACCTGACTCTAGACTTTACACATCGGGAGCATCGACATATTTTTGTAAAGCGAGGAGCTACGGAAGCCCAGAGTCGAACAGAGCCGATTGCGATCTGCTACTGTTACACTCTTGACAATAGCAAGGGGCGAGATTTCCCTCAGTGACCGAGATATGTTCAATAGGTTGTCTCGAAGCTGGTTCGAGGAGACCGTGGAAAGTTACAGGTAGTATGCGGGAGATGCAGAGACAGTAGCCCGAGTATGTAGTAAGCGAGAAGACGTCGGCCTCGCAATGGATAGAGAACAACAGCATCGAAGAGGAACCGCCTGTCGATTGAAGACTTCTGCCAGCCTTGTCATCATAGGAAATGTGCTCTTCTGATCAGTTCGAACCTCTCGAGTGTGTGTATGACATAACGGGGAAAAATACAAACGATCAAGTCATGGGATAGGTCGATCCCCCGTGAATATGTGTGGGCTGTGGGTTCAACCTCCCAGTGGAGAACTACGTTTACTACCGAGTTTACAACTCACGCATCCTCTGACGAACAAGAGCTCCTCCAGTCTGCCGACCAGTGACTAAAGCAGTGGACGTATAATTGGCGTTGCAGTCTTTGTGTCGTCATCTAGATCATATGCATCTGGTACCGAGCCTTAGTCCGCGGAGGAACAACAACAGTGCATCAGCCGTGATCATATTCAAGGCCGATAGGATTGGCAAAAGCAGCATTACAAAAGTGAGGATTTGGCCGAATCCCCAGTAATTCGCTGGGTTGTCGTTGTTTTGAAACAGTTTTGCCAGATCAATATTCAGGGTTTGCCACAAAAATCCTGTGCGATCGATGCTCCTGCTGTGCCTACATCGCAGGCATTCCAGGTGAGAGACAGCAGCGACTGGAACGGGCCAAGGTATCGAGAGGCAGGTATGAGTAGGACAAATTTCCAGAACGCGGTGGACACGACTGCCACAATCAGATTGAGCGAGAATTGCATCAAGCATTTCACGAGATCCCGCAAGGAACCGTACGTCGAGCTCTTGAAGGTGTCACAGAACCTATGAGCTACCACTGTTGAGAGCTTGACCACAGCCTGCACGCATGGGTCCATGAAGGCACGCCTAATTTTAAGGACGGTCATATAGAGGGCAATCGATCCAACCGGGAACCAGACGAGTGAAAAGACGATCCAGTCGTTGTAGTCCCCAGGCACAATGTCCCAGACAATGCGGGGTCTCCCAATTCCAGCGATCAAATCTCCCAACCGCCAGCAAGCTCCAGCATTCCCACAACAAGTTGACGACGAAGAAGATAATAGTCCGAAGTTTTCACTTGTGGTTAGCCGGACAAACATGGATGATTGCGGCAGCATGCCCTCTCAGACTAGTGTCTGCAAGCGCGCATGCCATTAATTGCGGTAAAGTGGTGTCTCATCGTCGCGGTAAGGATTGACCGAAGACGCTACGATGATAGAAGGGTCAGGCACCAGCTGGCCGTCGCCTTGCATGATCAGCACCATCCTGATCCATTTGGGATGACGATTAGCTGGGCCAAGGTCCTCCACTTTGAGGTAGAAGTAGATGTAGGCCTAGAGCTCCGTGGACATAAGTATTGGTATTACTGCATTAAATTGCCAGGACCACAGATATGCCTGCTATGCCAGAGTCACCTTTGATTTGGCCCACGCAATAGTCCACGGTCATGTACGTCAAATGTCAATGTCAAGGCGCCGCCCCCACTTTCTGGACTGTTAGTCTGGACCAGTCCCAGGACTAACAGTCCTGGATCGTCTGAAAATTGAACGGACTGTTCATGGACTCGTCCAGGATGGAGGACACGGCACAAAGGTAGAAAGAATAGACGCGGTTAAGCGTAAGTAGTACTAGTGCGACGCCTCTTTATGACACTATTGGCTGGGCATTCTTCCTTGCTTCTTCCCACTTCACCCTACAACATAGGTACTGTATTCGAGGAGCCACACTCGCAGCGACTAATAGTACATCGATCTAGAAACTAGATCGTCAATACTCGCTTCGACTCGTCACAACGGGCAAGACACCCTAGTCTACCATAGGCTGCCTTACCGAATGCTTGCCTGTGGACAGTCTGACATCCCGAAAGCAAGTTCGCACGTTTTATATCATGGCTCTGTGTGTCTACAGACGAATCTCTAGTTTACCCATTAGTCTCACGTGCTCCTTAGCTATTAGCTCACATTTGATAATCCAGACCGTTGACCCCGGATCTTTAGGAGTGTAAAGGCTCACATTATCACGCTTTGGGACTTGTTAAGCGAACATATGAGGGCTTATTCGCACACACCTTCCTCATTCTGAATGCATCGACTTGCCAGTGGCCAATTGGATGTCGATTGCTATAATAGCTTGCGGGATATGTCGCAGGAGACTATCGCATCAGGATTTACAAGTGGTGCTGCATTGACCGTAAACATCGATGTGTGCTGGTGAACCTATAAAACGGCCTCATCACCTACCTGTCGTCCATCAGTGCGCCCACATTCGAGTGTATGTATCCTGGTATCTTGCCTTTCTCTTCAAGGCATCACAATGCATTTCTCCTCCGTTGCCATTCTTTGCATAGCCCAGCTTACCGCGGCGGCTACTACCACCCTCTCTGTCTGTAATAGGGACGACTGTCTCCGAGCTGTCGTTGCCAGCTCTTTTCCCACCAGATCTGGCGCGGCTGACTGTTCGTCTTTCTTCAAAGACACCGTAACGCCCGCGACAGTGTACACATAATCTTCTCAGACCAATAATGGCATGCTAACCTACATTCTCTAGCACTGTCACCAAGTCATCTGTTGCCACTGTAACAAGCACGTTGACTGTTGCCTCTGTGGCCCTAAAAGATAAACGCGATGCTGGCCCCGAATCAGCGCTTGACATCCTGCCACGCCAAGTGACGGCCACCCCAACTGCCATCCCAGCTTATGCATCAGCGTGTTCTGGAACAGTTCGTTACTCCAGCGCCTGTTCCTGCATAGGCGCCACCCACAGCATCACGACCGTCAAGGCTCCAACCACTACCACCACGGTCTCGAAGACGACCACCATCACCGAGTGCGCAAGCCCATTCCCCACATTTGTCCTCCAGCTGGAGAATTCTGGCATCGTCCTGAACGGCATCGCTCTAGACGGAACCTACGCCCAATTCGACGACGGAGACGGCCCTGTAATCGGCTTCAATGGCTCTCCCCGCTCCCAAGCCCTCATTCTATCCCTCAACGCAGCGGGGAACCTGGTCATGGATCAAAACGGGCTTATCGCTGCCATAGATTACGGACAGTCGATGGAGCTTCTGCACTTCACCGACATTGCTGATGCTTACGCTACGGAAGACCCGGCGGTTTGCTCCGTCTCGGGTGGCCAATTGACATGCAGCACCGGAGCACCAAAGATTTTGCTGCTTTGTCCTGGGTTTGGTGCGACCAATGACTTGTTCATTGCAGTCAGTTTTGAGCCTGCACCGTGCGTCTTGCCGACTATCAAAGTCGTTCCTGTTTGTGTGGTTCCCTAGCGGTTGATGCAGGCGTAAACTTGGTGTCCTGGAATGAGAAATGCAATACGTTTACAATCAGAGTAGCAGCACAAGGGATTGACGGGGACTAGGAACGAGATGATACATAGGGGGTTGCCCCACAGCCAGCAGTTGAAGAGAACGAGTTCAAACGTCTCTATTTCAAAACAAATCCAAATACCGGCTTCCAGATGTAGAAACGCACCGATGACGCGGACGCTTTAGAAGCTCTTCTCGGCTAGACAGTCTCAATCTCATTGAAAGAGGCTTTAATTCGGGCAATCGTTACCTCACTCTAATCCGGTACAAGCCATCATCTGAACGCTTTCCCTGACTTGATATACACTGCCAACCGCCTGCCCATAGACCGTAGTTGGCATTTGGGCTACAAACGAAGGGCTGTCAATTGGGATTTTCTTGGACAAAGACCAGCTATATACAAGGGCGAAGAAGCGAAGGCAGATGACGACAAAACCCTAATGCGAATATTAACTTCGCATAGGCCGATCTGTCAGGATCTGCATAGAGCACTCCCCGCCGTGAGCGGAGGCTGACATCTTCTTGATGCGAGACAGCCGTAGACGGCCAACACCATAGTGGCGCGTCGCTCCTACAACGAATTAGCTCTTGCTCGTACTCGTCCATCAATCCAATGGGAGAAGTATACCTGCATACTCCCCCGGATCGACATCAGCCGTCGGCACAACAGCCCTCCCGATCCACAATCTTGGTCTCAGGGTATTATCTCGCAGTCCCTCCAATCTCTCTGACATCAAACACGCCGCCCATCCCTCACACAGGCCCATCCTCATGGCCACCCTCTCCATCAACTCCATCCACCCCATCCCCATCAACCCCATCCCCATCCCCCTCCCTCCCCAGCACATCCCCCACAATCTTCACAATCTCATCCTGCCGCTCGGCCGTGAACCGCTCATCGCACTCCTCCACCACGCAATCCAGCAGCCCCAGACCCTCCGGCCTCAGGTTCGCGATCATGAGCACCTCGCTCTTCGTCAGGTCGTAGGGCCGGAGGCCCGCGACCAGGGCGCGGAGGGCGGCGGCGCCGTAGGGGGGGTTCTGGTAGCGGGGGACGCGGGAGCGGGAGGCGGGGGGTGGGGAGAGGTAGTCTGTTAGCTGAAGAGAGGGAGAGGGGGTGTGAGTGTGATGTTCGTTCGGCGATTGTGTTGGGGTAGGGGGGAGGGAGGGAAGTACTTCTTTGAGCACGGTGTCGACATTCGAGGGTTTTCGGGGCGCGGTGCGGGGGGTTGCGCGCATCGCCGTCAGGTGCGCGTAGACTTCGTAGTTGGAGAGGACGGCGGATTGGGATTCGAGGATCTTCATGGATGGTGGTGGTGGTGTTGGTAAGGCGGGGAGAATAATGTAACGGTGTAGAGGGTTGAAAATGGCTGATGTTAACGAAGTAGAGTAAATCGATTCATTGGTCAAATGATTGGTTCGCCAAGCTGTCACGGATGTGCCCCGTCCCTATCGGGCCTAGAGTGAGTGCCGCTTTACGCCCTGGTGCGCCCGAGAGTCGCGTGCATCTGAGTGAATTGGACTGAGTACGCCAGTCTCTAGGCTGCAGCTCTAAGCATACGACGACATCGCTACGATAGTCGTCCAGCACAGCACAGAGCTGGGGGATTGATTGTCTGATGGTGGCGGTGCTGGTACAATTCAAGAAAAAACAAATTAATAACGTTGCGATTCGCAGAAATTACGAGTAAACCTTTCCTACATGTAAGCAAACAACAATCATGGTCCCTCTACTTGACCAATTGTGTTTGCCTATGGCACACCTTTCTACCGTCTTTCAATCGCCGAGCAGAACCCAACAACCACCACCTTGCTTCAACGTGGAGAATCTGCTAGCGATCTTGATCAATCCCGGTGGGCAAGGAAGGCCAACTCCAGGAGCGAATGTCGATGAAATTGCATCGATTGCTGGAGAGCTTCAAGTATGGGACTTCAAGGATGCAAGTTTGCGATGGGATGTCTAGTCAAAGCAATCCCCCGAATTGCGCGTGCTCCCAGATAGAAACTATGCAGCGGCGCTTTCTCATGGGACGGCCAGAAAGTACCGCCTTTCCAAAATGGCTATGGGACTGTGAGAAGGAATGTTCGGTTCTAGCGGGTAATGAGCAATTCAAAAAGGGGTACATAGCCGTCCCTTATACTTGGGGGAGGTCTCAGACAGACTCGACACACGTTTCTGGTAAACTTTCCTGAAGTGAATATTTCTAGGGTCCACTAAAACTTCGATATTAATCACAGGCCTTCTGCAGAAATACGGGATTTGCTCAATGGCACTTTTACGCTGGAGCCGTGCTTTAGCGCCTTGTGGGCCTTTTAGGAAATGGTTGTCTCTCCCTCCAGCATCTGGATCACCAGAGAAGGGAATGTAAGCACAGTCAACGATTCGTTGATTATAAGCTGGCACTTTGCCTTGGCAGTCAAGCTTCTTGGCTGGGCTTGCGATTATCGCGAGGTCCTTTGGCATGATACTTGGGCACCGCAACATCTGGTTCCTGCAACTATGGAGCAAAATCCGTATGACATAGCATTTGAGGATGCCAAAAAATTGATAAATTCAAAGGCAAACTACGTCCATGTCGACGTGTTAGGCGTCGAACTCTCCAGTCGAGGTGTAAAGAAAGTCAATCTTCTTATAGAATGGCCCCGGGATATGTTCCAAACCACTACAAATGCGCCGGCGGGGGTTGCAGAAAGACGTCGGGATGAGTGGCTGCTCTTTCAAGATTCGGTGGCCTGGCGAGATTGGGCATATAACGAAACATTCGCACCCTGTGTGCAAAATTAACGCGGACAGAGGTCCTAATGGCGAGCATTTTCCGTGCTTCCACGAGCAGACGGGCTGAAGCCATTATGGCCGCACTAGAGGTTTCATACAGTTCAGAGCGTGTTTTGCCGGCTGCTAGCGAGGAGCTCGGACCTGGGGGTCTGCCAATATCCCTTCTTAATCTACTACTTGCACTTGAGGGCTGCCATTCTTCTATTCTTTACATGCCCCTCGGCGCCAACTTTGATTAGCCGTGCCCGTGGACATCCCTACAATACCAAGAAACCAGAGCCAGCCCTTGACTTCATCCCCGAAGACATTCTTGAAGCACTCGGGCTTCCCTGTGACAACGGAACGGCGCACACTGAGATCTATCTTGATACATCAATACCCAAATAAGCAGGTATGACTCAGTAATGACCAGTCCGCATTGGCTGACGCTGAGTGAAAACAATATGTGTCATGATGAGAAAACTTTACAAGTGGACCTCAGATAGTGACTAATGCATATTGTTGACGCTGAATAGGTAAATATGTACCATGATGGGAAGACAAAGCGAATCAAATCATGAAGATCTCAGACAATGACTAACACAGATTCGCTGGCTCGGAAAAGGATCAATTCCGCCACGATAGAAAGACAAAGCGGATTTGACCCGGAAAATCTCGGACATTGATCCAATGCGCAATCGCTGACGCGGAATAGGAGAAATGTTCGGTCATTATGGAAAGCCAAAAGCGACCTCAGACAGTGGTGAAGACAGAACGAGACAGTAAAGCAAATCCTCTTAGACATAGAACAACGGCCATTGTCTCGCACTTGACAAGCTTTTGACTCTGATTGCCAATGGCTATTCCACCTCATCTCGACCAGGCCGGCTATAAACCATACAAACTCGCCATTCTTCTGCTGTCATTATCTTCCCACCGTTCTTCAACATTACATACCAATTCAAGAACTTTGCACAGAAAATTCTCGCAAAAGCAACATGGGGGGGGCAAATTACCGAATCATACCCCTAATTACCGAATCATACCCCGACACCAAATCACACCCAAATATGGGGTATGATTCGGTAATTTGCTATTGCTTGGGGTATGATTTGGTAAGTTGTCAAAGTGGCCTCAAACTACGAAGGAGATAATCCGCGATCTGGCTTATTCGATCATAGAAATAAGGGAGTTTCTCCGACCGCATTTGATGAGAATTCTATCAGCTTAAAAACATCAGACGAAAGCCGAGTGAGCGAAATTTCGAGCCCGGGGGTGTCCGCACTTCACGCTGCAGACACCGCTATTCGGGTCCCGTAGGCCCCGTAGGGCCCCGTAGGGCCCCAATTCCTACTACGCTGCGCAACGGGGCGGGGTAAGCTTAGGGGGTCAAACCCCGCCCCGAACCACGCCCCGAAACCCGCCCCGAAACCCGCCGCGCAGCGTAAATACCACCGTTATCCATAATCAAGTCGACGATATGTCTACCGCTTCTCAATAAAATAGATTTATTTTAGATAACTTAGTTAATTTATATGGAGCTATCATTACCTTCATTAAACCCTCTCATATCAGAAAGCTATTATTTTTCAAATCATACCCCAAGCAATAGCAAATTACCGAATCATACCCCATATTTGGGTGAAATTTGGTGTAGGGGTATGATTCAGTAATTAGGGGTATGATTCGGTAAGGATCCATACTTTTGGGGTATGAATTAGTAATTCGCCCAACATGGAGGTGTCTCGATCAACATCATCACCATCAGCATTATCCCCATCACACTCATCAAAAACACGCCCAACACGCCCAACACGCTCGTATCGTATATTGAAATCCCTCGTTGCAAAGCGCAAACTCTTCAAAAAGCGAAACGCGGTATCCCTCGCCCTTGTAGCTGCAGGATGGGCCCTACCTAAAGCCTCCGCTTACCTCACCTCCGCAAACAGTACCCCATTGATAGACCCCTACGCCTTGCTTACCACGGGAGCAGCAACGATCTGCCCCTTGACCGGCAACCGCACAACAACTTGCACAAATCTTATCCTCGAGATGAAAGCCACCGACTACATAGGACTCGGCCGTCGTCTTCTCAAGCCCGCAAATGCCGCGGTCTGCTCCCTGGGTCCTTGTGCCGCCTGCATCTGCGCGCATTTTGCGCTTCAGTTCCCAAACGGCATACCCGATGCCGACGAGCTGAATGAGAGTGAGTTGGAGGGTACGTTGGTGAAGTGGGTCACCTTCAGTTGTTTACAAAATTGGGTGCTGCTGCCTGAGCCGAGAGAGAAGTTGTTCAAGTGGCTTACGCGGGTATTTGGGGGGGCGGCGGCAAAACAAATTGAGGCTTTGCTGTTGAAGCTTACTTTGAAGGTTGGAAGTTTGGTGGCGCTGTTGTTCAAGAAAGTGAGGCGCATGCGGGGTGGTGGTGTCCCTGCTGGGGAAAACAATGTACCTGCTGGAGAAGTTGGCGTCCCTGTAGAGGGGAATGGCGTCCCAGCTGAGGGAGATGACGTCCCTGCTGCTTCTAATCAGAATGAGCACATCGAGATGATCGATGCGCTTTCGACTCCGGTTACCGACCAGCTGCCTAACACCATTGATGGCATTACCGACCCCGTCGATACTCATACAACGCCTACATCTAGCACACAAGAAATCCCCACCAGGATTCTTCGAGAAATCAACAGAACCCCGAGAGGCCAGCCGCATTACACGGAGTACCGGGTCGAGTACAACGATGGTGATATCGTAGCGAAGTGGGTTCTGAAGGAGACTTTGGAAGACGCACCTGAATTCTACAATTTGAGAGACGGCTTTGTTGCGAAGAAGGCAGGCAAGATTATAAACGGGAAAGAGGGGAAAGGAAAGAATAGATACTAGATTGCTGGCTTTCATAGGGTTGGTGATGATGAGAGAACGGGCGTTGGGATAGACTAGCGTTTTGTTAAGTATGCAGAACACAAAGCTTTATGTACTTCATGTATACAGTTCACCCTCCGGTGTTTTTCTTCCCTTCCACATCTTCAAAGCCCAAACCAATATTCTAAAAGCTGATAGAACAGTGAAGGGAGCTTCATCCCCGGCACAATTTGGGCTGCACTTACTCCTGCGTTGGATCTCTGTTCTCCATGCCGGAAAAAAATCTCACCAGTCGTACAAGCACGTATACCGCGTATGTCAGGACCTGCTGCTGCGCCCGGCATGTCCGCGGGCCACCAAGAAAAGGCACGCATTCCAACATCGGTCGTTTGCCGACCCATTTCTGGTGCTTGATTTCCTTGACGTCTTGGTTATGTTAGTAGAAGATTAGGATTTTTATGCCAACTTGTTCAATAGGGACTGGATGTCAATCGTAGCCCCATCGCGAGGAATCAGTTCGGGAAGCAGATCAATAAAGACGCCGAGAAATTGACCTTGGACATTCCGACCGGGCAAATGTAGGCTTGATCAGGTACCTAGAATGTTTCCCGAAGGCGCCGTCCTCGGAAAAGGAATGCTTCTCCCAAGGAACGGAGAGGATAAGGGATTCCCCGAAGACGACTTCCTTGAT